AATAATGTTACTCCAATACTGAAGTCATACTGTTTGTCATTTTCTAAGTCGAAATGTTGAACGAAAGGTGAAAAGGAGAGACAAGACAAAATACAATTATTCTCTAAGTCGTTCTTTCTTTCACATAGTGAGCTTTGCAATATAAACGAGTCTGTTGGTGAATGGACAATATAAATAGGCTCTGCCTTACCTTGTTGGAAAAGCATGGTTATGACCTGTTCTCAGCTCAGGAACTAGGACCCGTATGATATCTGGTTGTTCAATAGGTTTGCCTAAATAAAAGATTTAGATATGAATTACCAAGTTATTCCTGCAAAAAGGTCTGATGTTGCAGGGGAAGGTAATGAAAAGTGTTTGGAGCATGCTCTGGTTCTGATGCCAGTTTGTTTCAGCCTTCATCCAGTCTCATGTAGAAGGGCTGGTCATATCACAGGCTATTTGCATTACAATAGGGACATTTAGGAAGGTAGAGTGAATACACAAACTTGAAGAGGGGAGGGGGGCTTGCAGGAAAACTGAAATTCTCTGGGACTTCTAGTGTTAACCCTGCTCCTCAGACAGATCCACTTAGCGCTCCTCCTCAGACAAAACCTTGTTGTGAGCATGCTCTGTGCCGTCCAGAGACCGCTGAGCATGCTCTGTGCTGTTCAGAGACCCCTGAGCCTCAGGAGGGATCAAGTTATGATCAACTGAGCACTGCCAAAGCTCCAAGGCCCCTCAGCAGGCGCTCCACGCCTCAAAGGCCCCTCAGCCGCCCCCTCCGAGATTCCTGCTCCGCAGTCGGCGGTCCCCTATGAGGTTCCTGCGCCACAGTTGGCGGCACCCTCCGAGGTTATTGCGCTGCAGTCAGCGGGTGCTGCAGAGACGGCGTCCTCCAGGGATCCAGCTGCAGAGACGCCGTCTTCACAGTCATCCTCGAGAGGCCCTCTTTCACTGCCAGCCTCAAGAGACTTTTGTTTTCCCTTGTCCACCTTTGGTGGGGGTTTTTTGGACTCCCAGTTTTGCTTTTGTTTCGGGGTCCTCTCAACCTAACCTTGACAATGACAGTTTGACACACAGGAGGTTGACTGTTTTTAAGCCACTCCAACACCTACAAGAGCATGATCAAAGTTTCTTCCAAGGGAAAGTATCAAGATTATTCTGTTATTGTTTCTTTTTTTCTCATTGCAGATGAGTACTTCTACTTGTACATTTTTGGCAGTGTATATAGTTTGTGATACTTATTATATTTTATTTTTATGTAGGTACTTTCATTTCTATAAAGCTGGTTCTACCCAGACCTTCAACTGTGATTTGCCAAAGATTGAGATCACTGCAGTGGCAGAAGCAGAATCCAGGAGACATGCTCAAACTAATTGTAAAATTAACACAGAGAAACCAAAAACCTGTAACATTTGAGTTGAACCAGAGTTTCGTGACTCGAGATTATCGGTAAATAACAATGAAACATTTAGTCTCTCTAGGAAGGATTATCGACCCTGGCATTTTTCCATCTACAGTGGCCCACTTATGGAACCTTAACATTGTATTACTTCTTGATATCCTTGAGTTATTTACTGTCACAGGTAGGTGCTTTGGCCTGAGAGTAAGTGTTGGGGCCGGTATGATTTAAGGAGGGGCGGCCCTCGCACACCGTAATTAGGACCAGCCCATCGGGCAAATGCCTGGTATCACAGATTACCAGTCCGACCCTGGTCGGTACCAAGACTCAGAATTTCCTTAAGCCAACTCACCCTCCTCTCTGGCGGATAAAAAGAAACCTCTAAGTATGCTCTCTCCACAATTCCAATTTTTCTCAATTTAGTTCAACACATCTTACTTTCCTGTCAATTTTCAGAGACCCCTGTCATTCCTGTTCCTGGTTCCCAGAAGTAAATTAGCAATATGCACATTTGGTGTAAATAAACTGCTTAACAATTTTCTGTTTCCTGAAGCTGTTCTGTGGGTAAAATACTTGCTCATGACAGACAGGGGGAAGCCATGGTAGTGCTAAGCTAGCGCTAGCCTAGGTTGGTTAAAAAATCAGCCTGTACTTGATTTTTCTAATAATACAACAGTAAAAAGAAATGGAGGCTCAAGAGTGTCTATATTCATAGATTTTATTTTCCTGATAGCCAACAGGTATCAAGAGGCTGACTGGAAGTTTGAAAATATGCATATTAGTTTTGTAAATTGATGTACATGGATCACACATGTTTTTTTAATTGGCTTTAAACTATAATCAATGAGTAGAAGATGCTGTGTTGCTGTGTACATGATGATAAAGGTTGGCTGATTTAAAATGCATCCCTGATTGGTTTGCATGGCAGCTGATGTGGACCCACTCTTAAGGTTATGAAATGAGTGGAGCACATCTTCTTTCTCTAATTACATACTTTTCCATGACCTTTGCACCTTTGCAATGTGAACATTTTAAAATAAAGCAGAAATGTAGTATTTTTATTGATCTCCAATTTGTTTTCTACACAATTCTACATAAGGATATTAGATCTTAATGTGATCACTCTGGACAAACTCTTTAAAAAACACTTCATAACTTATCTGTATTAAATAACCAGGACACATTACAACAGATTTTGATATAACTTGTAATCTTACTCAGATCAGAGAAGTTGCTTAGAATTTACAGAATGGCAGCTGCCCACCCTCCGGGCTCACCTCTCAGGAAGTAGCCCCGATTAAAAGTAAAAAGACATTGTATACATCTCCAGTCTGCGACATCATACCATTTTCCATCATACACGTTCGCAGATGAATAGACATCATGGCTCCAGCCTTATAAAAATATTACAATTTGTTCTTAGTTGAAGGACACTGCTCTAATTCCATTCTCAAAAATTTGTCACATACAGAATGAAGATTATAACTGTGTATCAGGACAGAGGAACTGTCTCAACCAGAATATTGTGGAAAACATCAGTTCTGAAACACAGCAGGCAGCCAATAAAAATAAACTCAAACATCATCAATTATAATTATCCTAACAGTATGATGAAGATCTTAATTCCCTCATTCAAGTATTTGAGTATAAACAACAAGCATGAAAAGCAGTTGCTTAACATATGTTCAATTCAATTCAGTTTATTTATATAGGGCCAATTCAACAACACAACACTTCATCTCAAGGCACTTTACAGTTCACCAGATCATACAGTCAAATTGATTCAAAGTTTTGTATCTAAGGAAAACCAGTTGATTGCATCGACTCATTGACTCGGATGCAACCCCTCACACTAAGCATGCTTGTAGCGACAGTGGAGAGGAAAACCCCTCCAGCAGAACCAGGCTCAGTGTGAGCGGCCATCTGCCGAGGCCGTCTGGGGTTCAAGGAAACAGAAGTTGAGATAAAAAAAGTAACTGCAAAAGGTGGCCTGTCCAGTTGTTGTTCTGTAGACTTGTATTCATTGACTAAAATAGTTAATTTCAGCTTAGTTATAACATAAGAACAAACAGGTACTTTTAAACTGTCATAAAAAGTAAGTAAAAACATAAACATTCCTATTTTTTTAAGATAAAATCGCTCCATAACAAAGGGTTAAATTAGCACAAAATTGACTTACAAAACAGCAAACCAAAGATTAAACCAAATACATGAGGAAATAGGAAATCATATTACTTAAAAAGTACCTGTGAATAAACACTTTGAGCAATATTTTTCTTAATACATCTAATGGTTGCTTTGCTTCCTGGAAAGTGCAGTGCTGCATAGTCCAGGTCATTTCTATCTTCATCCTATGCAAAAAAAAAAAAAAAAAAAAAAAAAAACGAATTAAATTGAAGTCCCTAGAAACATCTTATGTCAATAAGAGATTCTTTTTGTTGTATATGAGTACATACGATATCTTCCTTTTGTCCAACATCGTGTCCATGGCTTGATTTTTTGCCTTAAACAAAATAACACATTTAATACATTTTTCCATAAGATTTGAAATAATCAGACTGAAACATTTCAAAAAGTAATAGTAAATCCAATATTACTTAATGATAAGTTTGCAACAAAAAGAATGTGGATTTTTATTTTATTTTTTAAGTCGTAGGGAGGCGGCTGCTCCAACGGTTGCAGTTCCGAATTCTCCCGAGTGAATAAAGTGAATGTGTTTGGTCCATTATCAAAAGAGCGGGATTGTTGTGGCGGAAGGTTCGCAAGCAAGTTTGGTTGTGGCTGGTATATCGGAAGCATCTTAATAACCAGTTAGCAAATAAGAGCTAGTAGGTTCCCAATGGGAAATTACATTGGGACCAAGTAGCCCTTAGAAATGACAATGTCAAGGATCGCTACGGACAGCGGAAACTTGCAAGATGAGGAGAGTTTTGTGTCGGATGTCGTGGATGCGTCTCCTCCGTCTTATATTTTTTATTTAAAGGAGGAAAGCGGGGATGAAGTTGTTGTGGAAGAGGACGCCAGGGCGGCTGAAGCTTTGTTTGGTGTAGAAGGCTTAGAGCCCTACATGTTTGAGTCCTTGCCTCGCAACTCTGACAGATCTGTTAGCTCTACGCCTGCTGAAGACACAGACGTCCATCCCCGTGAACACTGGGACGTAACTCAATGGTAAAGTAAATGATTCTTATTTCTACTGTTGCGTGTATTAGCTGCGACATATGAATCAAGATGCTATGACCGAAACTATTGATGGACGGATAACCATTGATATATGATTGACCAATTTAGGTGTACAAGCTGACATATAACTACCTAGCTTGCATAAAATAACGGGAAAAACCCCCACAGATTTTAAGACATGATTTTTTTTTAAATAGAATTTTCCAACTTTTGGGACAATATGGTCTGATAAAGAGCACATTTATATATATGTTTAAGCCAGAATGATTTGAAATTCAAATATGACTTCCCTATGACTTTGAACAAAAATACCTTGCTCATGAACAGTGAATCAATATACATGTTAAAAGGTTCAGAATTCTTACAGAACATTTACTGAACAAACATGATTTAAGTGATTGTCTCAGTGTTGCTCAACAAAATTTTAGTTCAGGAGCTCCACCAGGCTGCATATACTGTATAAACATATATATATGTATATATATATATATATATATATATATATATATATATATATATATATATATATATATATATATATATATATATATATATATATATATATATATATATATATATATATATATATATATATACATATATATATACAAAATCAGTGTCAGTATTTTGGTTAGTTAACATTTTTATTTATTATTACTTTGATAAATTTCAATTTAATTCATTGTCATCTGATTTTTTTGTCTTTAATGGAACAATATGTACTGTAAACACAAGCATAAAGCATTGACAATGAAATGACAGACAAAGAGAAGACCTTTAAGACTGAATTCAATGAATAACCCTCACCTTTAATCTGTATTGTAATATGTAAAATAACAGAAATAATCAAGCAAATTGTTAGAGTCACCAGTGTGATAAATGAAGAGTTGGAAGGTTCTTCTGGAAAAGAAACAAACAAAAAAAATTGTTTTAAGACATGTTTTAAATGAACATTTCAACTTGGGTAGAAAAACTAAAATCTTACCAACTCCAAGAGTAGTCCCATCACCAAATAATATTTCTCCACATGTGGCTAGGGCACAGTAGTATGTCCCAGTCTCAGAGATACTGACATTCTTAAAGAAGCTATAAACACATTTTCTATCATGTTTCTTCATACAAACATCCTGAGGCACTCCACTGGTGAAAACAATTTCTGGGTAAGAATTACTTGATCTGGCTCTAAACCAGAACACCTGGAGCTCTCCTGGACAAGTCTTGGTCTGAGAGCCAGACAGAATTGAACACTCCAGAGTTTCAGTATCTTCCACATTTACTGTATTTGTGGTTCTTGACCTCTGCACAATTGTGTAGTTTATTGTTTTCTTGATATTTCCTGTGTGGCACAAAGTAACATTAGAAACATGCAAAATAATACAATAGTGAAAAATTGTATTGTTTTTGTTTTTAAGAGAGAAAGTAGATTTGGGACTAGGTTTTCTTTTTTTTGTGTAATATACAATTCTCTTAATCTACACAGGAATAATTTTACCTCGGCTTTGCTTTCAAAAACAAACTACCCCTGCAATGTATTGTTATATTTGTTGTCTTCAAAAAATATTATGGTACTTAGAGTGAAGAGTTTTCTACAAAAATTATCTTTAAAAGAAAATGTAAAAGGGATCATAAAAAAAACTGAAAATATTTTAACTTCTTAATAACCAAAACATTGCATTAACTGCTTTTAAGTATTTCTAGGGGTGTTAGTATCGGATATTGGTACAAAATTACATGGGTCGATTGTTTTTATACCTTTTGTTGTTTACTATGATTCTCTGTTTTAGTAATATCACTTGATCAAGCCTTTTCTAACATTCTATTATACAAAATAAGTAAAAAATAATGTTTGCATTCCTAATGCTAATGTAGTTTTGGGTCAATATTGGTATTTGTTAATTCTAAAAGCTGGAATATTGGTATCCTATCAGAAATGAAAAGGTTGCTTTGGGACATCCTTGGTTGTTTCCACTGGTATTTTTATCATAAGAGTGCTGACAAATTTTGTAGCAGATTTAAGTTAGGATTTTGCTTAGGGCTGGACGATATAGGAAAAAAGCTGATTGATAAAAAAAAAAATGCATATTGATCGATATCGATAATTATTGAAAAGATTTGAAACCATATTTTATGTGCAGCTCTGCCTGGACATTTTATGATATTGCTAAATTATTTGATTTTAATAAAGAACACAAATAAAATCTATATAATCTATATTTAACCAACTTTTTTAACCATAACAGAATTGTTTTAAAGAAAAATATCTTAAGAGACCTGAGTTATGTTATTAAATACTGACAAAGAATAAACTAAAGTGACCAGAAAAGTGACAAAAATAAATATAACAAATAAATAAATAGAATACCCTATTTGGGTGGGAATAGTACACCACCAGCTTGTGGTAATTAAAAGATTGTAGGACTAGGCTACCATGTAAACCCCACTCAACAAGAACAAAAACCAACTAAAACCAAACAAAAATCAACTCACCCTTTAGCCTAGTATTTCTATGGGGTATTTTTTCTCACCCCTATTCTTCTAGAGGTGTTGTGGCACCTCGTTATGGTTCAGCTTAGTTTCCTGCTTTAACCTGAGTTATTACTTTGAAGTTGCTGGCCCCTCAGCATTTTTCTCTTAACTGTAAGAACTACGTGGGAAACTGCCCAGAACTGAATAAATAAATAAATAAATATATATATATATATATATATATATATATATATATATATATTCAGTTCTGGGCAGTTTCCCACTTAGTATTTTTCATTTTTTTCCCCAAAATTCCCAAAGATTCCTTGGAGGAGAGCCGCGGCGGGGCCTACACAGCTCGTACTCCTGTGGGTGTGAGCGGCTGAGATGATAAAAAAAAAAAATTTGGTTGTGTTATCAGACTTGGTTCCCTACACATTTTACAGATGACTGTGGTTTGTTTTTTGTCCGACTTGCCATGACCGAAATACTGCCAAACTGGCGAACTACAAAAACCCTTCTTTGGAACAATTTCCTCTGCCTCTCCTTGCTGCGACATCTTCATGTGCTCTGTGTTGTGGTTTGAGAGGGCGGCGCTTTGTCACGGCGTGCCTGGGTCCGCGATTGCGATTGGTTAGGAGGAAGTAGTGACTAGCATAAACCTACATTATAGGCTACAATGAGAAGGAAGGAAAACTGCGTTTTTTATCGACCCTCTTTTTTTCTATTGCGCCACACGTCTATCGATCGATATATCGTTATTGAATTATCGCCCAGCCCTAATTTTGTTTAAACCTCTTCAAACGGTTAATTTAAGTTTCAGTCAGAATAAACACTATGATTAGATAAAAAAATAAAAATAAAAAAAAACTCCCAGGTATTTAGGACTAGACTGTTAAAACAAGGCGGGAGTAGAAAAAAAAGAACATATATACCTCTCAGTGACAAATAGGTTCCACTCCACGTATTCTCAGTCCAATCAAGGACTGCACAGTGATACATTCCCTCATCTTCTTCAGTGGTCCTCAAAATTGTGAGATTACTGACTTTCTCTAAATACGTTATCTCCAGTCTTGAGGCTAAAACCCCTGGTCCATATTTAGGGGCTGTGTTTTTTCGCAGCATTGTGATCACCCTCAGAGTATCTCCAGTACTCTGCTTGTACCAGTGAATACTTTTAATTCCCAACCATTCTTTTGGTAAATCACATGTCAAGGTTGCAGGTTCACCAAGAGTTACTGTGATCACTGGAACCAATGTGCCTTTATAAGAACAGATTTAGAAGTAGAAATAAAGTTACAGTGCAGTGCAATAAGGCATAAAGGTAAATATTACTAACAAAACATTAAGTAGACTTGTAAATAAGATATATTTATCAAGTAGAACTTACGTCCTTGATGAACAAGAAGCAGTGTGACCCAGAGGAGAATCATCTTCACAGTGTCTTCATTTGGACACTTGTTTATCTTTAAGTAAAAAAGGAGGTGTGGTAATCGAGAAGTCTATGCATCTGATTGGTTAGCGCTAAATATACTCTGTCTTACTCACCCCTTGAGTAAAAGCGCTTTTGCTCAATAATATTATTTTATAAAATAACAGACAAAGAAACTCTATTAGAATACTATAGTACATATACTTTATACAATAATGTTCTGTAACTCTTTTTTTCCTTTGAGCAGTACTATTACAAAAGACATTTTCTTATGGGGTTTTTTCAGTGATGGGAGTAACGGCATTGAAACTCAGTAATGCCGTTACCTTTTTTTTAGTAACAAGTAATCTAACTAATAACTTTGACTGTAACTACAACGCAGTTACCATTGCTGACACCCCGTTACGGCACGTTACTCAGGTCACATACAGGTGCTGGTCATAAAATTAGAATATCATGAAAAAGTAGATTGATTTCAGTAATTCCATTTAAAAAGTGAAACTTGTATATTATATTCATACATTACATACAAACTCATATATTTCAGATGTTTATTTTGTTTAATTTTGATGATTACAAATGACAACAAATGAAAATCTCAAATTCATCATATCAGAAAATTAGAATATTGTGAAAAGGTTCAAAATTGATGGCCCCTGGTGCCACACTCTAATCAGCTAATTAACTCAAACCACCTGCAAAAGCCTTTAAATGAGCTTTCAGTCTAGTTCTATAGGCTACACAATCATGGGGAAGACTGCTGACTTGACAGTTGTCCAAAAGACGACCATCGACACCTTGCACAAGGAGGGCAAGACACAAAAGGTCATCGCTAAAGAGGCTGGCTGTTCACAGAGCTCAGTGTCCAAGCACATTAATAGAGAGGCGAAGGGAAGGAAAAGATGTGGTCGAAAAAAGTGTACAAGCAAGAGAGATAACCGCACCCTGGAGAGGATTGTGAAACAAAACCCCTTCAAAAATGTGGGGGAGATTCACAAAGAGTGGACTGCAGCTGGAGTGAGTGCTTCAAGAACCACCACACACAGACGTATGAAAGACATGGGTTTCTGCTGTCGCATTCCTTGTGTCAAGCCACTCTTGAACCACAGACAGCGTCAGAAGCGTCTAAAGAGAAACAGGACTGGACTGCTGGTGAGTGGTCCAAAGTCATGTTCTCTGATGAAAGTAAATTTTGCATTTCCTTTGGAAATCAAGGTCCCAGAGTCTGGAGGAAAAGAAGAGAGGCATTTCATCCACGTTGCTTGAAGTCCAGTGTAAAGTTTCCACAGTCAGTGATGGTTTGGGGTGCCATGTCATCTGCTGGTGTTGGTCCATTGTGTTTTCTGAGGTCCAGGGTCAACGCAGCCACATACCAGGAAGTTTTAGAGCACTTCATGCTTCCTGCAGCTGACCAACTTTTTGGAGATGCAGATTTCATTTTCCAACAGGACTTGGCACCTGCACACAGTGCCAAAGCTACCAGTACCTGGTGGAAGGACCATGGTATCCCTGTTCTTAATTGGCCAGCAAACTCTCCTGACCTTAACCCCATAGAAAATCTATGGGGTATTGTGAAGAAGAAGATGCAATACACCAGACCCAACAATTCAGAAGAGCTAAAAGCCACTATTAGAGCAACCTGGGCTATCATAACACCTGAGCAGTGCCACAGACTGATCGACTCCATGCCACGCCGCATTGCTGCAGTAATACAGGCCAAAGGAGGCCCAACTAAATACTGAGTGCTGTACATGCTCATACTTTTCATGTTCATACTTTTCAGTTGGCCAACATTTCTATAAATCCTTTGTTTTTATTGGTCTTCAGTAATATTCTAATTTTCTGATATGATGAATTTGAGATTTTCATTTGTTGTCATTTGTAATCATCAAAATTAAACAAAATAAACATCTGAAATATATGAGTTTGTATGTAATGTATGAATATAATATACAAGTTTCACTTTTTGAATGGAATTACTGAAATCAATCTACTTTTTCATGATATTCTAATTTTATGACCAGCACCTGTATAGTGAGATTACGTCTGTCAGTTGGGTAGGTGGGTGTTTCCGCTGGCAGGTGTTAACATACAGCACACACAGAGAGATGGAGAGTGAGGATGACTCCAGCAGCAAAACAGTGTTTTTTTCCCATGGAAATACCGGTGTTATGTCGAGCTGCGTTTCCCCATCAGATACGGTTTCACCTGCATCTCCGCACAGCACAAGCGGCACGATTGACCGCGCAAGCGACAGGAAACACAAATGCTCACTAAAGGCGCGTAGTAGCCGCCCTGTGCTCGCGCCACAGGGGAACTATGGAGAGCGTGAAGGATCAAATGTTAGCCTACATGGATGGATGGATGGATGGATGGATGGATGGACGGACGGACGGACGGATGGGAGGGTTATTAATTTAATACACTCACCAGATCTGAACACCCTGTTAAAAAACTTCACACCCAGGAGTAGAGGTAATGCAGCCTGGCGATATTTACATTGCATCAGATAGAGTTACCCCGTGTTAAGAGCTATCTGATGGGGTTTATAGGCCCGTCAGATAGCGTTCCCCCCTGATGTAATTTACGTTGAGTTGTAATAAATGCAAAACTCTCTGCAGGTTGTTGTTTTTGTCGTCCTCTCTATTCAGCTGGCTTTTGAAACACACAGCGAGAAGGTGGGGGCCGGGTGGTGAGGGTTATGGGGGCGAGAAACGCAAAAGTAACGCAATAGTTACTTTTACTAGTAACTAGTTACTTTTATTGTGGAGTAGATCAGTTAGTAACTCAGTTACTTTTTGGGAGAAGTAACTAGTAACTATAACTAATTACTTTTTCAAAGTAACGTGCACAATCCTGTTTTTTTTTTTTTTTAGAATCTAATTAAACCCAAAGCATACAAATAACCCTATTCTGCTTGAAAATGCATGAAATTTGTCTTAAAGCTATAATAAAACAAAAGACAAATTTTTACAGGGTGTTTATAGATTTCTTTACTATTCTGAATTATACACTATTAGTTTGAACAATTATTGGTACAGAATGCTTAATTTTCACTCATCATTTTATTTTTGATGCGTCAGTATATTCATGTTTATTTTTCTTTGTTTTTCCTAAGTGTATTGACTTAGGTTTGCTCTTGTTCAGTCATGTTCTCATGTTTAGCTTGTTCTAAAGTTAGATATCAGGGCATTCCCTTCACAGAAAGCTAAGTAACAGACCCAAACAACTCTGACATTTTCAGAGCTGTTGATGATTGGTTTGTATTTATGTGGTATTAAGTTCTATGAAATGCCGAGGCTAATGATGATTATAACATCACTTACCATTTCTATTCGGTGAGAAACACAGAAACATTCAGCAATTTGTCAACAAGTATTTTCAAAAATCCAATAGGGTGCAATAAATACAACACAATGCTCAGGTCCCCCAAAGTCAGTGTAAGAATTTATTTACTCATGTCAAGACTTTTAAGCATGGTAACAATAATAAAAAACATTTAAAACCCCTACTGCACCACTGTGACTTTCCAACATCTATGAGATGGAGGGAACAAAGACACTGAAGCACTAAACACATAACAGGTAACCAACATATTTTCATCCTTACTTTGTAAAAGCACCTTCAAATGGTTAATTTTATATTATTACATCTGTCAGAAAAGCAAGGTCAGGTGGACACTTAGCATCAGTTTACAGGGTCGTATTTGTTTCATTTTTTTTATAAATGCATTTATTTCAATCAGCTTTCTTCAAGAAAAAAGACCTCTGCTTTATCTTAACCTGGCTCAGTTACTGGAGATCAGTCTGAAGGGAACTGTCCCCATGTTCTGCAGAACATCCCTCTATGAAAGGATTGAAGCTTTATTGTTGCTTTGACTTTGCTCAAATAAAGTTGGTCTTAACAATAGACCTGACTAGTCTGTTTAGCCTCTTAACAGACTGAAACTTGAATAAGGACATATCTTCTTTAAAGTCTTAGCTCTCCTTGTTGTGTTACTCATAAACAAGCTACAGAGGGAAAGTTGGGGGAGGGCAGCATGAAGATAGTTGACAATATGCTTTCATTTAGCCTGCTGGAATGGAAAATATTGCTCTTAAAGACTGCCAAGAACAGTATTAAAAAGACCTGGTTTTGGGATAATTATCATTATATCTTCCAGCCTTGGACACAAAACAAAATTCTGCCTATGGATTAAATGTGTGTTCATTGAAACTATCAGGTAACAACAAATTCTGTACTAACCTCGACATCGCCAAAACCTAAGAGATGGTGTTCGGTTTCCTGAGAGATAAGACATCAGCCAGTCTCACTTCATGAGGACTACATCAAGAAGGTGCACACTTAAAAATACTTGGGGATTTCACTGGGTAACAGGCTGGACTAGTTCACTAACACAATCCTTCTTAAAAAGGGGCAGTCATCTGTTTATCCTATGAATCTTGAGGTAATTAGATATGTGTGTAGGGTTGTTGACGCTGCACTTTCCTATGTAGCAAAAGTGTTAAGGAACTGTAAGTGGCTGCAAAAGCTGGATAAAAGGACCCAGTGCTGGTGAGGAGGTTGAAGCTGTAAGCTATGTAGCATAGCGAGCTATACTGATAAATCTGAAGGCCTTTTCGAACAACCATAATCTCCATGCCTGTGTAAATTCTCTGTCTTCCTGCTGAATGCCTACTACACGTACTTTCTTCTTTAATGTAACTCATTCCAAAGAAATTGCATAACCACCCATTATGATTTAACTAGAATGTGCTCAGGAAGATAGACCTCCATGCTGCCTCACACGCTTTCAGAAAAACTGAGCGAAATTACCGTTGTCTCCCATTTAAGCCTTTTTTCAGGTAACAGCAGACACCCATACCATAGCCTTTTGGATCATAGAGACACACAAAGACATATAACTATGCAGATGCACTGACACCTAAGAATAAAATTTAGAGGCACCATTTTACCTAAAAGTAAGATTTTGGAATGTGGGAGGAAGACAGATTACATGGA